AAGACTCAAGAACAACGGAAGAACGGAAGAAACGGCCGAGAACCGCCTTCACCGCCTCGCAGATCAAAGCTCTAGAACAAGAATTTGAGAAGAACAAATACCTGTCAGTAAGCAAGAGACTCCAGCTCTCCAAACAGCTCAAGCTCACGGAGACGCAGGTGAGAAGGGGGAAGGGGAGGGAGGAGGAAAGAGGGGAAAAAGGGGGGGAAAGAAAAGAGGGGAGAAGTGGGAGAAGAAAAGTGGGGAAAGGGAGGGGGGAGAAAAGAAGTGAGGAAAGAGGGGAAAGGGAGGGAGAAGGAAAGAGGAGAAAAAAGAGGGGAAATGAGGGGAGAAGAAAAGAGGGGAAGGGGGAGGAAGAAAGAGGGGAATAGGGTAGGAGGAGAAAAGTGGGGAAAAGGGTGGGAAAAGAAAAGAGGGGAAGGGGGGGAGAAGAAAAGAGGGGAGGAGGAAAGAGGGAAACGGAGGAGAAGAAAAGAGGGGAAAGGGGAAAGGAATGAGGGGAAAGGGTGGGAGAAGAAAGATGGGAAAGGGGGAGAAGAAAAGAGGGGAAACGGGTGGGAAAAGAATAGAGGAGAAAGGGGGAGAAAAGAGAGGAAAGGGGGGAGAAGAAAAGAGGGGAGGAGGAAAGAGGGGAAAGGGGGAGAAGAAAAGAGAGGAAAGGGGGGAGAAGAAAAGAGGGGAGGAGGAAAGAGGGGAAAGGGGGAGGGAAGAAAAGAGGGGAAAGGGGGGAGAAGAAAAGAGGGGAGGAGGAAAGAGGGGGAAGGGTGGGATAAAAGAAGGGAAAGGGGGGAGAAGAAAAGAAGGGGAGGAGGAAAGAGGGGGAAAAGGGAGGGAGAAGGAAAAGAGGGGGAAAGTGGGGGAGAAGAAAATGAAGTGAGGAGGAAAGAGGGAGAAGGGAGGGAGAAGGAAAGAGGGGAAAGGGGGGAGAAGAAAAGAGGGGGAAAGGGGGGAGAAGAAAAGAGGGGAGGAGGGGAAAAGGGTGAGAAGAAAGAGGGGAGGAGGGGGAAGGGGGAGAAGAAAAAAGGGAAAGGGGGGAAGAAAAAGGGTGAGGAGGAAAGAGGGAGAAGAAAAGAGGGGAAAAGAGTGGGAAAAGAAAAGAGGTGAGGAGAAACGAGGGGAAGGGGGGAGGAGGAATGAGGGGAAAGGGGGAAGGAATAAGGAGAAAGGGTGGGAGAAGAAAAGAGAGGATGGGGAAAGAGGGGAAGTAGGGGAGGGGTAATGGGAGGGAAATAATGGGGAAAGAGAGACGAAGTAGGGAAGAGGAGAAAGAGAAGGGAAGATGTAGAGTAAAGAGGATAGGAGAGATGGAGTAAAGAGGGAAAGGGAGATGAAAGGAAGAAGAAAAGGGAGATGAAAGGAAGAAGAAAAGAGAAATGGAGAGAGGAAGAAAGGGGAGGAAGAAAGGAAGGAAGGAAAAGTTGTTTTCCAAGCAACTTAACCCTCAACGCAGGTGAGAAGAGGGGAAATGAAGGGATAAAGAGAGGAAGGAATAGGAAAAGGAAACACGAAAATGAATAGAAGGAGAAAGGTAAGGAAAGGATGGAATAAGCAACAACAAATCAAGCTCATGCAGGCGAGAAATGAGGAGGGAAAAAAGAAAGGGAAAGGGGAAAGGGAGGGAATAACGAGGAAAGGGAAGGAGGAAAGAGGAAGAGAAACGGGGAAGAGGGAGGGAAAAAAGGAAAGGAAGAAAGGGGGAAGGGATGACGAGAAAGACGGAAGTAAAGAGAGAAAATATACGAAAGGGAAGACGAGAAAGAGGGAAGACTAAGAAAGGGGAAAACAGAGGAAGGAGGAAGAAGAAAAATAAAGAGGAGGAAGGAAAGCAAAATGGGAGGGGAAAGGCAAGGGAAGAGCAAAGTAGAACAGCGAAAAGGAAGGAAAGGAGGGGAAGGGGGAGAGGGAGGGGGAGGGGAAAGAAACACGAATATTACAAAAACAAAACAAAAAAAGGTCACAAACTAAAAAATCAGAAGAAATTACATTATCTAATAAAATTTTTAAAATTAAATGATTCTTGCCTTAATGAATATATAAATTAGGTGACTGTAAAATATGAAATATACAAATGTAAATAACATGCAAACATAAACTATGTTGCTTAATAAATATACCATAACTATATATATTTGTAATATTCAAATATGAATACAAACGAGTCGACATAAGCCAAACTAAATACACAAGCCAAACAAACAAACACAACCAAAAAACAAACACAACCAAAAAACAAACACAAACAAACAAACAAACACAACCAAAACACAAACAAAAATCAAACACAAACGAAAAACAAACACAAACAATAAAACAAGCTAACCAAACAATAAACCAAAGGGTAAACAGAACCGAAATCTCTCTCTCTCTCTCTCTCTCTCTCTCTCTCTCTCTCTCTCTCTCTCTCTCTCTCTCTCTCCCTCTCTCTCTCTCTCTCTCTCTCTCTCTCTCTCTCTCCCTCTCTCTCTCTCTCTCTCTCTCTCTCTCTCTCTCTCTCCCTCTA